GAGCGGGAGCCATGGAGGAGCCGCTTTTCACGGTAAGGGCATGGGCTTTGGATTAGAGTTCCAAGACTGTTTGCAGTTAGGATAGCTGCTGCTGCTAGCTCGTGTGGTGTAGAGCCGTACAGGGCATCGCTGTTGTCAAAGGTATAGAGGCGCGAAGCGAGGTCGTTGGACTGCTGAACCCAGTCGTGGATGGGGCGTAAGATGTGGACGCGGGGTGGGCGGTCGAGGGGCTGTCAGCGTGTATTGCGGCTGGTATGTGGGCAAGTGTCGGGGAAAGGAAGGGGCGGGCGGCGGTGGATGGTGGTGCAGGAAGGTGCGAGATGGAAGCAAGCAGGCACTTCCGCCCCGAAAGCTTGGCCAGACTTGTCACCCCCAAGGAACCTAAACACTCCACTCCACCACCAAGTACCAGCCGACCGCAGCCAGCCTGGCGCGAAGACAGTACAGTCGGACAATGCAGAAATTCATTTCTCAACGAAAAAATCCCATTTCTTTTTGGAACACCGTGTACAGTACTGTGTTAGTACATGACATGCACAGTAGCCATGATCCTGTGTCATGGCCTCTCTCTCCATTCTGTCATGCCACCCACCCGTGTGCCCCACGCGCTTGCAAGTTGCAAACAAAACTACTATTACTACAAAAGAAGGACCCATTCATGTACAGTATGTAGGTACATGCATAGCATCCACTGTGATGATGGCCTGGCCATTCTAGTAGTTGTCAAAACACAGCAGCAGACTACCTAGCTAGCTGCCTGCTATTACTGTGCCTACCGTCCCCTGTCCACTCGCACTGGGCTGGCAGCCATCTGTTTTGGCGTGATGCCATGGATGGTCCTTTGTGCGTGTGGGCTCGCAAATGTCCATGGCCGAAGACAGGGCCGGCCTCGGCATGACATCCTGCTGTGTACATGGTACATACGGTACATACTACTGTACCTACCTATCCACACACTACAGCCACCTCTTTCTTTCACACAAACCTTGACACACACACACACACACACACACACACACACACACACACACACACACACACACACGCACACACACACACACACGCACACACGCTTGCGCCTGCTGACAGAGTCTGCAACGGGCAAGGCTCTGCACCCCGCCAAAGGCTATGGAGCCATGCATTACACACCTCACAGATTGCCCTACACACGTCGTGGACTCTGGTGTGCTGTGCCCATGGACCACAGTGAAGAGGTTGCAAGCGTGCAAGCCTTCCGTCTGTAGAGTACCTGGAAACCTGACTAGCCCTCCGCTGACTTGCATACTTCAAATGTTGCCGGCGTACATAACACTGCACTTGTAGAAGCTTAACACCACAAACACCAATCGCACGCCCGCTCGCTGCCGGTAAAGGCTTGCTGACGAGGAAATCTGGGCGGATCACGCGGCCAAGGGTACTTGTAGATCTTCGGGAAAAGGGCATCGGGAGGGAACAAGCACCGTCGATCCCCTCCTGCTCACAGGCGGAAAGGAATCACGCCATGCCCTTAGTACTATGTACTACTCCTACTCTACGCCCCCCTCCCCCCCCCCGATTGCATCCTCTTATTGCCTTTTTGGCCTCCGTTTCAAATATTCCTTGCCCACACTGTGCCGCACTGGGCCGCTTGCAGACCCAGCCACCCTTGTCCATCTCTTTTTTTCTTCTTTCCTCTTTTTTTTTCTCTTCAACTTACCTACACTTGGATCATGATTTTGCGCCTGTCTTGGTTTCTGCAGCCTCAAATGCTTCTCGGATAAGCCATGTGTGTGTATGTGTATATATAGGTGGGTGTGTGAAAGTGTGAGCTGTGTGAGTGTGTGCACGAACGCTACTTGTTACTCAACCCCGCATGCAAACCTTGAACCCATCTCGAAACAACATGGAAAGAGTTGGGTACGATTCACGTGCTAACCCTGTGTCGACGCCACGCCCCGTTGCTGCACTACCTATATACTACCAAAATCCTCTTTCGCATCTTCTCTGTCCCACCTGCTCTTCTCCAGCGCATCCACCCTGGCTAGCAATCCTCGGACTCTCTTGCCGTTCTTCTCCTTGGCCTGCTCCTGGAGCTCAAACGTCTCCTCCAACCGGTCCAGCATGAACCGAGGCATCCGGGACTTGCGCGCCCTACCATAATCATAAATCACAATGTCCTCGACGCATCGTGCCGACGCTCGCCGTTGACCTTCGGACAGAATCACCACGTCGAGAAGGAAATGGTCAGCCTCTACGCTAGGCTTCTCCCTGACTTTATGCAGCACCGTGATCCTGCCATGGCATCGTCAGTGTCGCCATGATAGGTCCATGTTGTCCCAAGGGAACAAGCCAGGAGAATCTAGCTACGTACCGGTCCGGCCATTTCATGGGCTGTGTTGGCAGAGAATAAGAGAGAGAGAGAGTCAGTCTTAACTTGATCTTCTCTACCATTTCTGAAGCTGGGCTTGGTGGGAGAGAAGAAGAAAAAAACCTACAAATTTATAATCCGTCTTGATACTGCGAAGGATGATGCCAATGCCTCGCGGCAACATGAGCTCATTCCATTCCGTCTGATGCGCTGCATCTCTGGCTGCGAAGTTGCGAGTCCAGTTCACCCGCGCAGATTCTGCATACCGATTGTAAATGGCATTGTTGACATGGCCTATTGCTGCCAATCAGCCAAATGCTTGGGTCGACTGTCTAGGTAGTACCCGGAGAAAGCAGCATACCCTATCGCATGGGTTAGGCACTGGGTACAACCCAAGACGCACTCGAGACCAATACGTCTTACCATACTGTCCTGAATCCTCCCCCCAAAGCCCTGCATTAGCCCCCATCATCCAACTTGGGGAAGATGAACATGTCTACCGTACCATCTCTCCCCAAACAACTTCTTGCCGATACAATCCCCTCCATGGCTTGCCGGTGAGAAAGCCTTCGCTGCCAGCAACCAGTTCCCTCCAGTCTTCGTTGATTTCCTGCAATATCGAACCTGCTTCTTGCGTTTGCTCCGGTCGGAGACCAAACAGAATACATTTCCCAATCCGCGTCTTCACATCCGATAGCCATCGTGGGCTCAGTTTGGCTGTAGCCGCTGCCTCTGCCGTCGAGGAACTACAACGTGCAAGCCGTGGGGCGCACTGCACGCTCGAGAGTGTCCATGGGGAAGCGGGAGCGAAGAGAACCGACCGCAGTGGTAGTGGTCGGCGTATCATGGTGGGAAATAGGATGAAAAAGGAACTTGGCTGAGAATGGTCTATTGTATCTATGTACTGTGTGGTAGGCTTTGTGTTTGCGCCAACCTTTCCGATAAACTGCGGAACGAAGCCGAGGGCCGGTCGCGTCGGTAATAACTAGGTTAGGTAGGTGGCGTTGTTCGGTTCCAGACAGATCGTCGTGGCCAAACTTGCACCTCATCTCATCCACTCTTTGCCACGCATACTATTGAGGGGATGCGGAGAATGTTTGTGGAATCTTTGGACTACACTTTATAGAACCGAACTACCTACTGTACCTATAGTAGGAGTAGTATCTACTCTACTTACTCTACTGGTCGACCGGGAGATTTTTCGAACCTTCTTCTTTCCAAGAAACATGACTACTACTGTCAGACCCGAACTGCGTTATCAGGTCATTCGGATATACAAGGGTACGGGAGCACTGATGACAGACGTAGCACCGAAACACATCCATGGTCCATAGGTACTAATCAATTGCCAGAATTGTTGTATCTTGGCCGTGATTACCCTCAAGGGTACGACTATTTCCGCAATCGCCTGCGCAAGGCTTTTGCCAGTCAACAGCACATTACCGATGAAGCCGAGATCAGGGATGGCATCAAAAGAGCAGAATTTGTCAAAAAAGGTCAGTCGCCTGGTAAAAGGGGTTCACATGGACTGAAACAGAAGCTGATCAAGATGCAAAACAGAAATCGAAGCATTGTACGGCTTGCTACATCCTTTTGGAACCCATGGCTTTTGGTCTGTTGCTGATGGATTCAAACACAGATACTATCTAAAGCGCTACCGTGCTCTACGTGGACGATACCATCCGTTCACCTGAAGCCTAACAAACCAAAAAAAAAAACTGTCCATGCTGTCAGCATTGGCCTCGATTGGGCCGGGATATCACGAAACAACTAGTACGCTCCCGATCTTTCTCATACTTTCTTGCACCACCACACCCCAACTTCAAGACACTCTCCGCTCGACGCCCCTTTTTGCTCCAACAAATTCTGCATCATCCAACCCCACCAGCGTTGCCACTCCTCCTGGTTCTTCCCGCTGACTTCCTTGAGTAGCGGCTCCAAGCTTTCAATCAGCTGAATGACGATGAGAAGGGCTGTGTACCTCAACGCTGCCTGCTCCTCGGAAAGAGTAGTACTGTCGAGGCTAGTGGTTCCCTTTTTGAGTTTTGATGTGTCAAAGGTGCCTCGCTTTGGCACGTTTCTTTCCCCAGCCGCCTCCCGCTCCCATCTTAGCTCTCCCAGAGGGATGGCTACCCGGCGATTCTCCACATCACAGAGCGTCTCCGTTTCCTGGAGCAACATCTGGGATACACGTGCGCATGGAGTAGGAGACAGTTTACGGCGGTCTAGAGCCTCTTGAATCCACGAATTTGCATCTTGCAAATATTTGTTCTGCACCTCGGTGAAGGGCGTGATGGGCGAGATAAGAAAAGTGCCCGTCTGTACCGCGCAAGCATACTCTTCTGGATTCTTCCCTGGTGGAGGTGGCGGGTGTGGCAAAATCGATCGAATGATATGATCCGTCTCCCAGATCTCGAGCGTGCCCCCAGACTTGAGGATTCGCGTGGCTTCGTCCAGGATCCTTTGCGAAGGAGCGCCTAGTGGAACGACCATGCTCATGTCTTTCATGACGACAATGTCAAACTCGTCATCATCAAAGGGGAGTGGTAGTTTTCGCAAATCGTGTGCAACGAATTTCCAGTCCATGCCTTGCCTTTGCAAATCACCAGCCAAATTCACGATATCCAGGCCAGTGAAGGAGACGTCTTGATGACCCAGACCTGCCAGATATTCATGGCAGACTGCTGACCAATATCCGCTTCCGCAGGCCAGCTCAAGTACTTTCTTTGGAGGGTTTTGCCTGTAGAATGGAGAGGGTTAGTCTAGCTAGAGGAAGGCGAGTGCAATGGAAGCAAGCCCGTGGGCAGCATTCGACATCACTGCAAAGAAACCACTTGGGCATAGAATCGAGAGGCAATGAGAGAGGTGGGCAAGTAAATCTGGTATTGCGAATATACGTACGGAGAAGGGGTGGAGCCTAGTGCTCGCCCAAAGACGGCCGTGGCGAGTAGGGTCTGTAAGTTCTGGCGGTGCAGCTCCGGTAGATCGCAGGGCAGAGGATAGTAGCCCACGTTGCGCAGGTAGCGTCGGCCATGGCGTAGGAGGAAGGGCTCGGAGGAAAGGCTGGTGTCGTCGCGGGCGCTGTGGGCAGTCGAGGTGCTCGATATGGAGCCCCTGGTCACGTCCATGGTGCTTGGGGCAGGCGCCGACACTGAGGGGGCCGATGTTGTTCTACCGAGGGCGTCCGTGGTGGTCAGATCCCATTGTTTGGCCTCAGCCGTCTTGGGGCGCAGAGGGGGACTAGTGACGTTGGGCCCCGAGTAGCGATACTGAGCTACAGATTAGCACGATGATGCTTTTTTGCTGGCATGAACTTGTCGTCTGAGGTGCAGTACAAGAAGCCACTCTGCCATGATTTCTGCCCCACTGTTTAAGCGGGCGCGGAATTATTGAGCCTGGCCCTTCCCCTTGATCCGTGTAATAAGCACGTACAGGGCGAGTCAGTGCAGGCGGGCTTGTTGACACGGCGGAACGGCGGAGCGGGACTCGTGGCAGTAGTAGTGGTAGTATATAGCAGCAGCAACAGTAGTAGCAGTAGCAGTAGCAGTAGCAGTAGCAGTAGCAGTAGCAGTAGCAGTAGCAGTAGCAGTAGCAGCAAGCGGGAGAAAGTGTGTACCTATGGTAGAGAGGCTGAGAGTCTCGGTATGACTATCAGGGCCGCCCGGCTGTGGGAAGACAGGCCCAGCCGTGTCGAATAGAAAGCAGGCCACCGGTAGGAGACGAGAGCGGCGTCTTCCGCAACGATCCAATCACGATTGCGGCTGAGTGAACCCCCCTCCAAAGTCACTCTGCCTAGGTACCCTACAACACATAGTAGTACTCTCCAGCCACGTTATAGTGTTATTGTGTGCTGTACACAGTGGCCAGGTAACGGGCATGGTAGGTATTAGGTAGCTGCGCAAATAATTGACAGCCAGCTTCCAAGTGCCAACGTTGCTGAATAGAAAAGATACATATAGCGGGCGCTTCACTTGCTGCTGTGTGCGCTCCAGATGAGCCTGATGAGTGAGGAGACGACCGTAGATGGACATGGTATCTAGGCCTAGGGAGAGCCATCCCACGACCTCATTTGCCAGTCTACCAGCCTGCCACTGTGCCAGATGCGCGCGGACTGACGGCCGGGCGACAAGGTTGACGGTTCACGGTCCCCAACGTTCGCCATCGCATCGTGCACACACGCCTTTTATGCACGCCATAGCAAATGCCCCTCCTCTCTCCCCCTCTCCCTCTCTCCACGGGCCGTCCAAGCTCAAAGGACGGCCCGCGGCGGGTTTGGAGATTTGGAGTTTCCATCCTTGCCACCATAGTCCGCTGGGGTGCCTCCAAGATGTCGAGTCGCAGAGGTGTCGAGGTGTTGAAGTGTCGAGGTGTTGAAGTGTCGAGGTGTTGAAGTGTCGAGGTGTCGATTCGAGGTAGAAGTTTCAGGTGTACATACAGCTGTCCAGGGTGTCCACTGTCCAGCTGTCCCCCCAGGTGGTTGGTTCTGGCCACGTGACCTTGGCGCGGACGGGCCAGAACGAACCTTGCCCGATGCACCACTGAGCTTCACGTCTCGGCTGGGCACAACCTCTAGCATCACTACACATTCTCTATTCTTCTCCGCGCTGCCGTTGGAGTCGCTCCCAGTCTAACTCCCCCGCAATTGAGACAGCCAGCCCTGCTGCGCGCCTCGTTTCTCTCCCTCTTCACCATTCGTACGTGCGCCGCTTCCACCCGCTTCTGTAGTCGCCTACCCCATCACAGGCGCCTCCAACCTCATCTGCACCCCCACTGCAGTGACGGGACTGACCGCGCCAGAAGACCAGCCAAACACAACACGATATCAATAACCCTCCCCCATCAGCTTGCCGTGGACACAAGACCCCCCCCGCCCCAACCAAACGCGCCCGTCCCCGTCGCCGCCGCCGCCGCCGCCGTCGCCGTAGTCTTTATCGAGTCCCCCCCGGCGCCAGGCCCCTCCGCTTCTCGCAAAACCCCACACATACACACATACACACACATACACACATACACACACATACACACACACACACCACGACCCCGATACATGCTACCCGGGTGTCGCCTCTGTTAGTGTAGCTCATGTCGAGGAGCAGGACGGACGCCCATGTTAAAAAGAAGAAAGTCGCGTGCCCGAGTCCCACCGCCTACCTGACGCCCTCTCCTACCACGACACCGTCCCGGGGCTTTGACCTCGCGCACGCACTGCCGCCCCCGGGACCCTCGATACTCTGCGCTGCGAACACATTAGATGGCCGACTACTCCATCTACCAACGCGCAGCTGGCCAGACCTTCTATCCACAACACGCACAAGCCATTCGCAATCTCCAGAGCCGAGTCCGCTCACCCACCAACAGCGGCCGCATACCGTTTAACAACGCCGATACCCCTTCCCCATCACGCTCCCCCGGACGCCAGTCGTCGCCCCAGCAGTTCGGAATGTTCAACCAGGGTCATGGGCACCAGACCCACAATGTCATGATGAATGGAAGGGCTGGCCAGCAAAACTATTCCATGCAAATGAACCTCGGCAAGCCCTTCCAACATAATCAGCACCATCAGCACCAGAACCAACACCACCAGCAGCACCAGGAATTGTCCGGGAGCCACCATGGTGGGCAATACAACCACCAGCACAACATCTCAAGCGGAGGCATGTCCAACGTGCAGCCCCACTTCACCCCAAGCCACTTGCAGAATGGAACGCCGAACAGTGTGCATAGTGGACTTAGCAAGCCGCCAAACGAACATTGGGCAGAGCAATTGCGGTTGGCCCAGACTGCGCGAGAGATGACCCAATCGCACTCGCACGCAAGAATCCACCCGAGTGTCAGCAAAAGCATTGTGGCAGGCACGACCAACGGGATCAAGGATCCGGACAAGGAAGAGCGCAATAGGCCTGCAGCTCAGCAAGCAGGAGATGGCAAAGACCAGCACATATGGACAATACTTGACTTTGGCGGACAAAATCTCAAAGTCATTACCCCTGCGCTCTTCAACTACACTTTCCTAACGAAGCTCTATATCAATTGCAACAAACTCACCTACATCCACCAGAACATTGGCCAACTACGCAACCTCACGCACCTGGATCTCTCCCTGAACAGTCTGCAATATTTGCCTCCCGAGATTGGCATGCTCACAAATTTGAAGCAACTGCTACTGTTTGACAATCATATTGAACAACTCCCTTATGAGCTAGGGTCCTTGTACCAATTAGAGATGCTCGGCATCGAAGGCAATCCTATACCGGACGATCTCAAGCAGATCATCATGGAACAGGGGACCGCGGAACTCATCAAGCATTTCCGTGAGAATGCTCCTGGTCCTGAAGCGCCACCAGAGCGAGACTGGATAGTGCTTGACGAGATTCAGGACTCCCAGCAGGAGACTGTGACGGCATTGAGTTACAATATCCTTTGTGACAAATACTGTACACAATCGCAATATGGTTACACGCCCAGTACAGCACTGTCGTGGGAAAGCCGTAGGGAACTAATTCTGGCGGAGCTGCGCGAACGCAACGCGGACATTGTGTGCCTGCAAGAAATCGACCAGGACAGTTTCAATGAGTTCTTCCGCGAAGCGCTGGCACACAATGATTACAAGGGTGTCTTCTGGCCAAAATCTAGGGCGAGAACCATGGCAGAAAGAGAGGCCAAGCTTGTTGATGGGTGTGCTATTTTCTTCAAGAACAGCAAGTAAGTGTTAGGAACGGGCGAATGGACGAACTTGACTAACTGCCGCAGGTATATCTTGCTGGACAAGCAGCTCATTGACTTTGCCAATACTGCCATCAATCGACCCGATATGAAAGGAGAACACGACATCTTCAACCGTGTCATGCCTCGTGACGACATTGGTGTCGTAGCATTTTTGGAGAACCGCGTCACCGGATCCAGGTTCATTGTTGGTAATGTACATGTGTACTGGAACCCTGCTTTTACGGACGTCAAGCTTGTTCAGGTTGCCATTCTCATGGAAGGCATATCGAAGTTGGCCAACAAATGGGCCAAATTTCCTCCATGCAAAGACAAGGTGGTCTATCGATTCACGAATGGCGATAACGAAGAGGGCAAGGAACTTGATCCCAGCCAAGAGCCGGGGCCGTCCATGGAATACTCGGATGGGTCTCAGATCCCCGTTATCCTATGCGGTGACTTCAACTCCTTGCCTGACTCTGGAGTCTACGATCTCATCACGCAAGGTACCATTTCCAATACGCACTCGGATCTCGGGAGTCGGAAATATGGCAACTTTACAAGAGATGGCATTTCACATCCGTTCAGTCTCAAGTCGAGTTACGCGGCGATTGGCGAGCTGGCATTTACAAATTACGTGCCTCAATTCAAGGGCGTCCTCGATTACATCTGGTACTCGACCAACACACTTCAAGTCGTCGGCCTCCTCGGCGACATCGACAAGGGCTACCTTCAGCGCGTGCCCGGCTTCCCCAACTACCATTTCCCTAGTGATCACGTGGCTCTCTATGCGCAATACATTGTCAAGGGCCGAAAGAAGGACAAGAAGATATCTGAAGTGGATTTTGGACCAAGCAGTGGACGAGACCGGAGATCTTGAACAAGAAAAGAGACAATCGACTTGCAGACTTGTCCATGTGCTTGCGTTGCATGTGGAGCGTGTCATCTTGTCAGGCGTCGTTTGCTGGGTATTCGGATGCCCCTCTTCTGCTCGCGCGTCTGGTATGGTGGGCTTTGATGAGGGAGATTTAGGAATCTCCATGGCGACCGATTTCATTTGGTCTGCGTGGTAGGTAAGATGTGCGGACTGGGCCATGTTTGTTTTTATGGAAAAGGGAAAGGAGGGTGGGGGTTGGGGAGGAATTGCAGATGGCCAGTGCACGAATCTCACACGATGTATGTTGTTATCTGGCTGGTGTATTAGACCCTGTTGTTCTGTTCGTATTCGCTCGTCAGCACAGTAGACAGGTCACCTTCACTCTTTTGTTTCCCACAGGTACGAAGCACGTGTCTTGGCTGGTTGGCTGGTTGAGGGGTGTTTTGTGTGTCTTTCGGGTTCTGCGATGGATTTTGTTTGGGAAATGTTTGCGTTGGCTTCTGTCTGCAATGTATCAACTAGCTTTACCAAAACGCCGTGTCCTCTGCTTGGGAGCAGGAGGAACTGACTGCGTGTATTCACTGACACCCCCCCTGCCCCTCCCCCCTTTTTTGACAACCAAGCCGTCTACGGCGCTGTGATGTGATGTGATGCAGAGCAACTACAAACCTGCGTAACAATGGCAACTTGTCGTCATGTGGTTCTGCCATCCGCTGTCGTCGCAGAAGGGAGGATTCAGATTCCAGACGGGGGCAAGTCCAGACGGTGAGGCTGATGCCAAGGATGAGGGGCTGATCGAGTTTTGTCTGGGGCCGGGGAGGGGCGTTGAGCGCCCGGTTGACCTGCTAGGCCCGCTTCGTCGTAACATCAACGTCGGCGGACCTTGGACGCTGCCCCGGGCTTCTCTTCTTGGTCAACATTCTCACGGCGCCCGCTCACCGCAGTTTCCCAGACTTGTGGCCTCTGCTCCTCTTCTGTTCCTCTTCTGCCTGCTCCTCCTGCTCCTGCTCCTCCTCCCAGTCCTCTCGTTTTGCTTCCCTTTGGACACGACTTCCACATCAACACGACGCCCACAATACCATGGCGACGGCACCAGCCCACGAGCTCAAGCTCGACCCCAAGTACGACGACTACGACTATCCCACAACGGCGCCCACCCCCCAGAGTGGACATCCTGGCCATACAACGCCCGAGCAAGATGCCCAGGTGCACCAGCTACGGAGCCTTCTCGAGCAGGAGGGACATACCAAGAATCTTGACACGCTGACACTGGTATGCCTGGTCTTCTTCCCCGGCCTACCCCTCGCACGCCTTTCGCCTGTATAGCAAGCAACAAACTGACCAGAGATCCTGCTCAGCTACGATTTCTCCGCGCACGCAAGTTCAATGTGGAGCTGGCCAAGAAGATGTGGGTTACCCCCCCTCCTCCCCGCGTGGCTGCCGAACCTCGAGCTCGCGCTCTACTGCCCTACTGACGCCGCTACAGGTTCCAGGACTGCGAGAAATGGCGGAACGAGTACGCTGGTATCGGCGTGGAGGAGCTAGTCCGCACCTTTGACTACAAGGAGCGACCCCAGGTCTTTGAGTACTATCCGCAGTATTACCACAAGACTGACAAGGTGCGTTCCACTTCCCCTCCAACATCTCTCCCCGTTTTGTCTACACTGCAACTACTTACCCCTACACTGCACAGGATGGCCGCCCCGTCTACATTGAGCAGCTCGGCAAGGTCGATCTCACCGCCCTCGGCAAGATTACTTCGCAAGATCGCATGATCCAGAATCTCGTTTGCGAGTACGAAAAGATGGCTGACCCACGTCTGCCCGCCTGCTCCCGCAAGAGCGGCTACCTTCTCGAGACCTCGTGTACAATCATGGACCTCAAGGGCGTCGGCATCGCCAAAGCTACCTCGGTCTACGGCTACCTGCAAGCCGTCTCTGCAATCTCCCAAAACTACTACCCTGAGCGTCTCGGCAAGATGTACGTCATCAACGCACCCTGGGGTTTCTCAGGCGTCTTCAGCGTTGTCAAGAAGTTCCTCGACCCAGTTACAAGCGCCAAGATCCACGTCTTGGGGAGCGGATACCAGGCTGAGCTGTTGGCTCAGGTCCCAGCAGAGAACTTGCCCAAGGCGTTTGGCGGCAGTTGCGAGTGTGAGAAGGGATGTCAATTGAGCGATGCGGGGCCATGGTGGGATCCACAGTGGGTAAAGGAACCCAAGTGGGCCAAGAAGAATGACGACAATGCTATCGACAATACAGGAATGACGCCTCAGATACAAGATGCTGGTGCGCCTGCACCGGCGGCACCTGTGGCTGCTGACCCGGCCCAGGCTCCCATCACGCAGCCTCAGGCTTAAAGTATTGATGTGAGAGTCTAGTAGCATGGCGTTGGTAGAGGTGTGGTGTTGAGAGATAGTGTTATAATTGGCCGTCGGCAATTGGTGCGTAGAACTGCTCTTTATCATGTGTATGAAGCATAGTATGTGCCACCCATACAGAGATTCAACCTTGGCTAGAAAACTGAGGACTATATCCTGCAATATCCCATGGGTTAATCACAGTTGGCGGTTCTAGATCTCGACCGCTTCTCCCTCTGAATTGTGTGGAACGGTGCAATTAGAACTGTGGTGTTATGGACCACGTCCCCCGGCATGCTGAAGAGATATACGAGACATAACGGCCATTCACGTTCCATGCATGAGAAGTGCCCGTGAGATATATCGCATCACTGACGCTAAGTTGTATTTCCATTAGTTTGATATTCCACTCTTTAGCAGCCAATACACTTCTCCATCTTGAACCGTATAGAGAATAGTGCTCACACCGGCTCTTGCACTCATTGGCACTTTGTGGTGATGGTCTGCTTGAAAGTTGCCTGATGTATTCTGTTCGTCCTCGCTTTCGTCCATCTATAGGGGTATCGTGTCTAGCACCCTTCAATCTCCTCAATCGTTCCAGCTGTACCCTTCACGCACATGCCGTGGTTCTGACGAACTACAACGTCTGAATTTGGATTAACATCTTGTGTTGAGGAGGCGACGTAAGAGAACAACATACCCTCAGAAGCGATAGGCGCAGCAATGGCAAAAGCAGCCATGGAGAGAACAGTGGCGAATACGGTGAATCTCATGTTTACGGCTGGAAGGTAGTAGAATCTGGCAAAGGCTGGTGTGGTCTGGGTATATCTGAGATGATGGGAAAGTCGTTGAAAAGTCGCCCGGCGACAAAAAGAATGTACAGTGGTTGGGCAGATTAGAATGGGAAGGCTGACTGATTGCTGCGATTTGGTAGTGAGCGGCCGGTCTAGCAGGCTGAACGCATGTTCTTTATACCATGCTCAGGCCCATTGTCACCGTGCTCCCAGTGACAAGTACGTAGTAGTCGTCGGGGCTGCGACTGCCTCATATGATGCCTGAAACCGGGTTGGCTTTTTCCCTTGTGAATGTGGAGGCGATGTAGGGAATTCCTGACTTGAGATCAGTACTGCGCAATGCTGGGACAACGGGGGCCTGAAGTCTCGATGGACCGTATGGGGAAAGAATGGCGGGAGATCGCCTACTGAGATGTTTTGGGTGTGTCGCGGGTTGCTGGAGAAGACGACGGGAACGGGAAGAGGTGGTGTTGCAGATGTCTGACCGTGGAGAGGAGTGGGTAGGCATCTTGGGGGAACGAGCCTGTTATTCCGAGACGTGAGAGACTCTGAATTCACTCGTGACCTTGATGGGAATGCAATACAAGGGCATGCTCTGAAAAATCATGAATCTTCAACGTATTCAAAGACCTCGACTAGCCATTTGTATGTTGAAATATTGACCTTGTCCATGTTGCCGTCAAGTCGCTTGGACGGTGCTAACTGCTATGTTGACGTGAAACGGTACTCAAACCCAGCCGAAACATCAATGACTGAGATACAGAATCGGACCAGCGCGTGGGGTACTATACCATCTAAATACACTTTCAAGTTCCTTTGGTATCGTAGTCCCTATCTTAGAATGAGCACAGGTTTTTGCTGCTGTTGTCACAGAAGTCGTTGCCCAAATGGTGACCTACCGGTACCGGTACCCCACCATGATATATCATGGGGACCTGCTGTTCAATGCGCTCTCCAAGCATGTCACTACCCTAGGTACGCAGCAATTTCAGCTGCCACGAGAACAATACAACCCAAAGTTCGACACAATGTGTTCTCATCTATCATCTATCTATATGCAGCTCGTAAAGAGGGCAGACTCGATAGCTTGGTGTGGCCTTGGCCTGAACCGAACTCCCTAATATCATTTTCTGCACAAGACATCCACCCTCGATCCCTCTCGACGCGGCCTCCCTCAATGTTGACGGAGAACGCGGAAGCTTCAAAAATGACAAAGGGCAATAGTTGCAAGCTTCCGTACGTTGTTGCACTTTGCATAGACTGAGAACCCGCCTCAGGTTAGGAACAATGACGTACCGGTAGATGATATCCTCCAACGGACCCGATCGCGTTTGTCGTGAGGTGTCGGTAACTACGTGAGCGAAATTGAAGGTGTGGATGGAAGCTGCTTCCGCTCTCGTGCCTACTACTTCGAGCCATGTTGCGCATTTCTGTTTGCTACCGTAGGCAAGCTGTCACCTTTCTTATCAAGGCCTCCTGCGCCTGGTAGGTAGTTACTGTCTGCAGACTTCCCATGATTCCAGATCCAATAGCCTTAAATCTCTATTGCAACAGAAGAAATGCCAGACAAGGGCTGGCGCAAGAAAATCCATGGCAAGCAACCGCGAGCCCTGCCTCCCATCAAGACAACGTCGAGAGATGTAAGCGGAGAAGACTCAGGCGACCGACGCACTGCAACGGGATGGAGGAAAACAATCCAAAGCAGCCGCCCAGAGACTCCGTCAAGTATGTCGCGATTGACGCCCGCGATTACTGACGCAGATGACGTTCAGAGCGAACACTCTGAGCCACAGACACCGCGTCCCAACTCCAAGCCGAGGGTTGCAAGGTACACCTCACTGTTTAGCAGCTTCAAAGAGTCTTCCAAAGCTCCCGACTTCAATGAACCGTGGAGTGAGTCGTCGCCACCCTTGCAGTTCTACGTCGATCCGCTGCTTGCCTTGCAATCAGTTCACTCGCATATGATTAGCTTCACCACGCCCATCCCACTTGAGCATCATAGTGGACTCTTCCGCGTCTTCGAGGACTACAGGAGGGCGCGACACGAGAAGGAGCGTCTTGATACTTTGCTACAGGATACATTGACGAGCTGGACGATAGCAGAGGATCATTGGGCGGAATCAGAGTTGTGTTATAAAGCTGAGATCCGCCGGCTTGAGATTCTGATAGCGAACGGCACCAGTGGCATGACAGGGTCAGTCTCGAATTTCTGTACTTTGTAGTGATATGCTTACCCCTCCATAGTCTCTTCAGAGCCAGACAGGGCAGTGTCATAGATCGAAAGCGAGGCCACCCCAAGACTATTTCCCACGACAAACATCTACCCACAGTCAAATTATTGTGCGCTGAAGAGCGAGACAGTCAAATGCCATCAAAAAGTCAGCAACGTGAGTCTGTAAGCGCTGTAGGTATTGTATGCACAGAGGCTAACGACATAGTCTTTTTCCAACGGCCAGTCTCGCCCTCCAAGAAGATGGCTACTTTGTCAAAGTATCTTGTCGATACCCATGCAGACCAGCCTCCAGTCGGATTGCGTGATAGGAATCACAGCTCAGGACTGTCGCGCAAAGTTCAAAGTGAGCTCGACTTGAAAAGTATAGTTCGAGGGAACGAAGAATGGTCATTTCATGCTGATGATGTGTCTGACAACCTGGGTGGGCTGTCAGTAGACAAGATAACAGGTCCACGCATGTCGACAGATTCGAAGCTGGAATGCGATTCAATCATCGCGCTTCGTCAACTTGGCGGTTTGATTGCAAGGCGTCGTGGTATAGAGATTGACACGTTCGTCGACGGACTCGTGGCCTTGTTGTCCACTGTCAAGAAAACACAAACCTGTCCGCGATCCAGCGGAGAGCAAGGCATCCAAGCCTGTTCCCCTGCCTTGGGTAAGCCCGATACGTCTACTGGCAATCCACTGGGGCAACATTCGATTCAACGACACAAGCTGAGGAGGTTCCAATCCCAGCCGCAGCTCGGTATCGGTCGACAACGTCGTCGTCATTTCTCCTTTGACCTTGGTGATGATCAACTCGAAGAACTAGAGGCGTTTGACATGTACACGCACAGCTTCTCGGGAGAGGTGTCCTCGGAGTGGGAAGAATCGCCATCACTACAACACGGCCGCATTGCGCCTAGAGCGCATTCAGTCCTCGCGATTCCTTCATCACAACCCTCGAGTGTAGACATACAAAAACCTTCGAAGATTCCCAGTCCCGTTGGGACACTTGGTCGTACGCGGCGAGAGGAGTCGACGTCAAGTTTACAGACCATCTTTGCCAAACCTGCAGACGGACGTCGTGACTCGGATTCGAGCATGCGTACGGGCTTCAAGGAGCAGTAACGCAACAGCCTTGAGCCAGTCTTTACGGCTAGTCATCTCGGGTAGTTTGAGAGTCACGTTACTTGTCTTGTGCCATCAAGACAGCTAAGATGTAGCAGAGGCAAATCATGTGACTCTCAAACTACCTGAGTGCATGAGTAGGCACAGGCAGCCCAAGCCAAATGCTGGGCACATTGGAATCCGCAGTAGCGCCCATGGGTCCGCTCACTGAATGTCGGGATCCTGAGACGATGGTGGCTTTGGCTGCGGCCGAAGGAGAAGACAGTCGGACGCCACCATACATTTGGCTTTGCGGTAGATAGATGACAGATCCCTTCCTTCTTTGAAGGCACTGAATTGATGAAGGCTAGTAGAGTAGTAGGCTACAGCACGAGACTCGCACACGACAGCGTGCAGCCAATGGATGTATTTGGCCAGCGTGCACCCAGGTTGGCTGTATCATCCAAAGAAGTCGGTGTAACGAGGCACTGCAGCAGAGGTGCGTGGTCCTACGGTATACCAAGGAAGATGTCAGTTGAAGAGTGATTGCATCATGGGTAGTCATGCCGATTGTCCAGATTGTGCAAAAGTGTTCATGTCCAGGTAGAGTAGTGTGCTAATGGCTGCGGCAAGAACAAAGCATTGGTTGAGGCTGCACAGCAATGTGCTCGCTGCGAGGACTAAGGACTACAGGTGGCCTGGGTACTATAGTCGGTACATGTATATATGAAACTGGATGCCTTGTGGCCCAAGATGATTGTGGCTGTAGTATAGATGGAAGCCATGAACAATGAGCATGGCACATAGGGAGGGGCAAGGATACAAAAACGATTGGGGAACCTATTATTACCAGCGTTCGAGGTTAGAGAATGCGAAGAGGGTGTCGTCTTTCATCATCGACAGGACCGGCGGTAGTACTAGGAGTAGCACAGGAAGTCAGCTCATGTGCCCGTTGTGGGTAATGCAGGCTCGAGGAGACACGGCACCTGGGAATTTGACAGTCGAGTACCGTACTAGTCCGGAAGTTATTGCCCTCGGTCTACCGGTACCAGGCAGGCTACCAGTAGGTTCTGTACTCTACTCTGCTTACTGTACTAGTTATCTCGGCTAGTTTGAGGATCACGTTACTTGTCTTGTGCCATCAAGATAGCCAGGATGTAGCAGTGGCAAATCACATGATACTCAAACTACCCGAGCGCATGAGTAGAGTACCGGTACCTATCCTTTGGATGAACTCGCCACATTTTGCTCATGGCCCACATGTCCGTTTCCAAGACGCCAGGCCTTCGATTCTGCACGGCTACGCGTCCTCTTTTTTTTTTTTTTTTTTTCCTCTTATGGGGCAGCAAATCATAGGGTACTCTACTAGGATGGGAACTGGGTGGTTAGGCGAGGCGATCGACAAGAGCTTACGCCACAGGTGCGGCATGTGTGGCGAGTACGTCCTCGACCGTGCCACAATGTTCATCATGCCCGTTTTCGAGAGTGCTCTGCCGCGAGAGGATGGGAAGTACAATCGGCCATGGCCAGCGATTCGTCCATGCACCTCTGCCGATCCTTGGGCTGGTAACCCGTTGCCACACTTATTTTTACACAGTGCATTCTGTACTCTTACATGCTTTGTACTTACACCATCATGGCCTTTTGCAGATGGCTTTCTCCGTCACTGGGACCGGATGATGGTTCCATCAGCCCCACGATTGGGCGACATGGCCCAAGCTCTGCAACGGCCAGCGAAGCGAGCGGTGCCACTTGCCATGGGCAGTCGTCGAGTCCCCCGCCTGCTCTGGGTTGTCGTCATGGACTGTCTTGTGCGCCTCCTCGGCCACGCACAAGCACTGTGACGATGAGCAAAGGCCGTTGATGGCAGGCAACACGGTTGGCGTACTGTGTACATACACCATGTACCGTACCTACCTACTAGGTAGGTGCTGCTGTGTCTGGTGACTGCATGGCTGGCAAGGCGTCGCCTAGGGGCTCCTTAATCTCGGCTTGACAGCCATCAGAATCAAGGTCAGGAATTACGGTAAGCGTGGAGGCTAAAGAGAGGCGAAGAGGCGAGGGGCGAGAGAGGCAGGGCAGGGCAGGGCAGGTTGAGGTTGGTTCATGGCAAGCGACACGGCGCCAACGCCCAATTAGGAGATTGGTTGCAACGTTCGGACTTCTGGCGAGCCTCCAGTCTGATCTGTGGCTGTACCCAGACTAGCACACGTAGGGGCTAGTGTGAGCGGGCAACAGGGGCGAAATGGGGCGTCGAGGGCGAGAGGAGAGAAGGGAAGGGAAGGGAAAAGGTGCAGGGTTGGATGGAGGGCCGAGGAGCCATGGATGGGCGATAGCGGTGCGGTTCTTGGAAACACGAATGGGACAACGGGCGCTGCCGGCACATGTCATTTGGCATTTCGGCGCCAATGCACACTGCAGACACACACACACACACACACACACACACACACACAACACAGTACTACTACACAGGTAGGCGCTGCGACGGTTGGTCAAGATGCGAGGAGAGATTGCGGGTGGGAGATTGGAAAGGATAGGATCGCTCATGTTGTAGAGTGGAGTAGGTACAGTATGGACTACTACTACTACTACTACTACTACTACTACTACTACTGCTACTCCGTAGCTGGGGAGATGGACTACCAGAGTCTCTGGTATTGAGTAAAGTAGAGTAGAGCAGCCTCACACTCGCACTGATGCAGGCCTGGGTTCGAGAAGCACAGCAACAGCCACCCTGGCGTCGATTGATGTGCGGTGCAGCGACAATCCGCACCTGTTTGGGACCTGTGCTGATACCGTTGTAGGTGTACTACTAGGTACTGTACACGGCAGAGTACTCTAGTCTGTGTAGAGTACTATGCTCATACCTACCACTTGGACCACTACCGTACAATTCACCTAGTGATTGGCAGCCGGCCGGCTCGCGGCTACTCCTTGCACGGTAGGGCAGGACAGGCGATTGTGGCTGTGCACCGATGGCCTTGCGGCTGATCAGCATTGTACTCTGATGGTAGAGTATGGTCGTGCTAGGTACTATGTAGAGTAGGTGTATATCTCATCCACCTCATGGTACTCCTAGTATAGTAGTATGAGTAGGTATGTACAATCCAATACACATGTGTGCGTGCGTGCGTGCACCGACAAGGCGGCGGCGGCGGCGGGTCACAGGAATGGGCGGGCCAGCGCCAAAAAACGCAGACCGGAAAGACGGGCTAGCTGGGGGCTTGCAAGCATTAGGGCGGTAGGGAAGGCTGTCTGCTCTATGGTGGGTATGGGTACCTACTGTACGGGTCCTAGTACGCGACGGCGAAGACGACGACGGTACCCTAGGGACTTGCACAGTATGTACTAGGTACTAGGTACCTACTACTCTACTACTACCCTACTACCCTACTACCACGAGTACCACGAGTACCATGTGTGTGTCTGTCTGTCTGTGTGTGTGAGTGTGTGTGTGTGTGTAGTATTGTAGAGTATAGGCTGTGTGTAAGGCCTAGGCCCAGCCCCCCCCCCCCCCCCGCTTAATTTCTCTAACAAAAAAAATCAAGTATTGATGGCAACTGAGGAAATACTGGTGTGCTGGCCTAA